GTTTTTACAAAAAGCTAAATTTAATACCGAAAATGGCTAATTTTTTAAAATCTGATACGTGTGCAGCCATCCCTAGACCATTACGCACCCAATGACGTATCAAACGTAGCATAATGCCCGTCCCTGCTTGAGATATCCTCCGGACAGACAGACGGAAGTGGATGCAAAGTGGCACACACACACACAGACACTATTTTTTATATATAGTAGGATATACGGATTCCGAATCTCGGTTCGGAATTCCGAGGTTAATTCCGCTTTTTTTACGTCGCTGATAAGCGGCAAATTCCTATTTTCAAATACAGCGCGCAATCGTTTTGCCGTCCTGTGGTCCAAGGGAGCGCCCGCCGACGGCCCGTCAGAAAAATGGGCAACGAAACGGTGTAATGGGGGGATGAGCAAGGGGAAAAGCGACAGCAGGCAGCGCAACCCAGGGTCCGCGCGTTCGGGCAAATCAGATATGAGGACATCGGTGGTCCTTTAGACACAGTTAGTCACGTCGTATTTCGAAAATAGGTTCTGAGGGTAAATTAGAGGTTGCGTCGCATTCTTTTTGCCAGCCCATATCTTTTAAATGGTAAACTTTAACGATTTTGAGCAATTCGATCGGTCTTACGGCTTTGGGTTACCGGAAACACAGAGCAAAATACAGCTTAACATCCGTACTGTAAACCTTTAGTTATCGTTTTCATAGATTTTGCCAAGGCTAGGGCTTATATTAGGGGGGTTCGACTCCTTCGCTGATCTTGAATGCGAAGGTATTTTTTTAACAGGAACGTTTATAATAAAAGAGTACGGTAGAATTTGCTTTACTCCCCCGTGCTAGTGTCGCAAATTACGGTAATTCCGCCCCCTTTCTTCCTGTCACCATCCCTTTAATCCCTCGCATTTTCATGGTGCGCACTTGCCTATTTTAGCTCCCCTCCCGAACCCGCTGGACCCTAAATTTTCGACATTTCCGATATTTTTTCGGGATTTCCGCTCCACCTTTCGATAGAGAATCAAGATATACAATACTTACAGCTCCAAGTAATGCAATATAAAAAAGCTATAGGGAAACATTTATAGCAACTTCCGACAGGGGCAAGTCAGCCTTATGGTAACTTTACTCCTCCTTTCTCCCTGTCGCCATCCCTTTAATCCATCCCATCTTCATGGTGCGCATCTTCATTCCTTAGCCACCCATCTCAGTGGCCGCTCCCCATCTACCCGGTCTCGGTTTGGGCCATTCGAAGGATGGGGTAAAAAGGAGACGAAGGAGGGGGGGGGCTGCCTGCGCGAGACTCTAATTTAACCGAAAGAAGCTTTCGGAAGGGAGGGCAAGGGCCTGAATGCACGGTCCCTCGAGGCCCCAGTCTTGGGCCACGCACACAACGGGGGCCCAACACACCCCAGCCCCCCAGCGCTCCACCTCAATTTTTGGAGGCTCTCTAAATTGGGGGCAGCCGAATTGAGGGCGGGTACCACATAGGAGCTGCCAGTTTGGGGGTAAGGGAGCGGTGGGTTACGGTAGATCAGCAGTTTAAGGTTTTAAGTTCCACGACCTTGCCAGATTATAAACCTTAAGTTAAGTTCATTGGTTCAGAAGCGGAAAAGCGGCGTTTTTCTCGGCATATGAATAGCTTTGTGTTCCGCTGCATACAGGATGTCCCAAAAAGATCCATCCGGCATTTCGTCGCCTTACAGCCAGTCCGTCCCAAAATTAAACCAGAGGTGCATGAGGCCCTAAATAACAATTATCCCGAGTTATAGCCACATAGCTACAGTAGTTGTCGAGTTACAACGAAATTACTGTTTTTTTTTCCCGCAAGTCAGAACCGTTTTTTCGGCTAGCGTTTTGGACTTTGCATAGATTTGCATCGAGTTCCGCTTGTAAATCGCTAATTCCGGTTAAAACTCGGGGTCCTAAAAATCTATTAAATCCAAATACCGAATGGGCATTTTTTTTCAAGACAACCTGTTCACATGACCTTGATTATTCCTTGATTCGCTATCTCTAGCAAAAATAACGTCGTATTCCCCTCATGATCACCAACAAATGCATTTTTAGCCTCTGCGGGGGCCCAGCGGCAGTGAAGGGCTGTAGTTTTTGAGCATCAGGGAGGGGGGCAGGGAGGGCAGGCGCGCGGCATTTCTTCATATTGCATGAGCAGTTCGTGGCCGTAGCCCCGGGGCCCTTTCCCCGCTCGGCTTGCTGTAAAGCGCTCGAGCCATCCGTTGGCCTCGCGCTCAAGCACCCCGTCTCGGTCTCCCCCTCTCCCTCTCCTTTTGCCTTCCATCAGTCTCATAATGGGGATTTGGGGGGAGTGAGGCTGGAAGGGGAAGGAGCTGCACCTTTAGTTGGAAATTAAAGTATACGGTTGTACCGGAATTGAGGGAGTGGAGATTCGGGTATGGATTTCACTTGGAAAAAAGGGTCTTAAGTTGGGACAAAGCCTATCTTGTGCAGAATTTAGCGCTGAATCCGATATGTTTTTCAAATTTGCGCAATCGCGATTTTCCGGAAGTGATGAACGATTTTAGTCAGGAAAACAAGAAAAAGTGGCTTTTTTGGAGCGTGTCTCGGTCTTAGATCGTCCATAACTTTCGGAAACTCGTGAATCCAAAAATTTGGTAGACAGATCCAGAATCAGCGTAAAATTCTGTACATGATAGGTTTTGTACTGACTTAAAACCCGGACGACAAAAAATATATCCGTTAATCGCGTCAAAAATACCTCAAAATTTGGTTTCTATACGATTTTAGACCTACATTAGCAGATATAAGAAAAAGAAAATAAAAAAAAATATGCAGATTTTATTCAAAAGCCATCCGATCAGACACGCTACTCTCAATTCTCAGAAGGAAGGGGAATTCTGGTATGAATTCTAACATGCCCCAGCCTACTGTACCCTCATAGTCATGCTCCCCTTCCCCCAACCCTTAGATGTTTTACCTGAGAGCATCCCGCTGCGGCTCCTCGTGATCGTTGCGGGACCCCGTCAACGGATTACAACAGCGGCTCCCCCCTCCGGGCCCCCTCGCGGCCGAGGAAAAGCCACCGCGCGCGCATGTTATTCTCGCCCCGGACGGAGGCTGAGAGAGGGGCATGTGTCGTGGAATGGAGGGGAGAGACAGCTTGAAAAGAAGATCTACCCCTCCCATGCCCTCAAGGCTCACACTCCCCCCACAGGGGAGGTCCTCCTCAACACACACCTGCCTTGATCAGTCCCCGTTTGGGCCCGGCTGGCATATAGTCAAGCTGTATTTCTAAGCTGATGGATCCGGAACAGCTTCAGAGGCTTGCTGGGTTGGCTGCAATTACGCCGTTGATAAGGTATGGTGTGGAATACTGTATTGGGCGTTTTTCGAAGTTTCTTGTCTTTTTGTTCGTTATGGCTAGTTATTACCTGATTTTAAAATTATGACGAGTAAGGTATCGCTATGGATTTGCTATTCATCTTGCCGTTGCCGCGAATTGATCATGCTCATGATCATCATCAACTTTTGCATTGCGCAGAGCATCACCATGCCTTGCCCAGGTCGCACAGAGTACACGTTGCGTAGCGCGGGTTTGTAAAAATCGAGACAGAACCCATAAAAATCTGTGAGGATCTTACCGGCTCCTTTAAGGGTAACTTCCGGAACGGTGAGCATGACCACTAAACATCTAGAAACTTTAAGGCTTAGGTTTTATAACCGTTTTCCTTCGCGCTCTCTCTCCCTCCCTCTTTCTATCTCTCTCTCTCTCTCTCTCCCTCTCTCCTGCCTCTCTCTCTTCTCTCTCTCTCTCTCTCTCTCTCTCTCTCTTCTCTCACTGTCCCTCTCTGTCTTATCACTGTGGATAAAGGCGCTCAACTAGCCTTTTTCTAAGTTTGAACTTTCATATCGAGCGTTTTCAAGTGGGAACGCAGCAAAGTTCATGCTCAGACTTTAGAGTCTGCAAAATTATGGAATTCATAAGATTTTACGACGTAAATCGTACGAACCAGCCTAGCTCCAAGCTCCAGCTCCTAGCTAGCTCTAACTCCTTGCTTCCCAAGAATTTTGCCGCAACCTTTTTAAAGTAAAATTCCCATCTCCAACCATTTCTCAAAGAATCCACGCAATCTCCCCACATACCCTAGCTACGGTCTGATAAAAGCACCATCTCAAATGTTACACATTTCCTTCCTTCCTCTCCGTTTTGCCCGTAGCCATCGGGGCTAGAGGTGAAAGACTGCCAAAAGAGAGAAAAGCGGGAGCAAAAATCGTGTGTGGCACACATACACAGACGGATTTTGAGGGCGATGGCTATCCGGGGGAAGCGCAAGAAAGCGCGGCTGTCCCTCCGCGGCGGCCAGCTTCACCGAGCAGGAGCTCGGTGAAAATTCGTATTGCGCAACCAGAACTCTAAACTTCTCATAAATAATTGTTGTGCCATTACGCTTGTTATTGTTAAGCTGATTTAAAGGGATTGTGACATCGGCGATACCGTTGACCCGAACCGGGTGCTCTTCTTTTTTGCTATAACTATTTTATATTACAGTATTTTGGGCTGAACCTAAAACTTTTCGTATATTTTTCGATGTTCTATCGCGTAACATAGAAAAAATAACGAAGCCACAACTAGAATATAGAAAACCAGCTGCTACTCCTCATCTAAGTAGCCGATTTTTGTTTTGTTTTTGTTATGCCTATTGTTTAATACGATTTTTTAAGCAATGATTCACTCTTAGTCTATTTTCATTTTTGAAATTATATATTTTGTAACAGATGGTGTTTACAACATAAGATGAAAGCAAAAATCTTCTTATTTTCTACCCTTTATTGCAATAGCCCGAAGCTCTTATTACGAACCTTTCTATGCAAAGTTTTTAAGGTGCTTAAAAATAAATTCATTTTAATTTATTAAGATTTAAAAGATATAAAAGATTGCTGAATGGGCACGATCTCTGAAAAACCCTATTTACAAAAACCCCAACAATTTCCAATTTTTACGTCTTTCTAATCCGTACCCACATACATAAACTTTTGCAGAATGGCGTCAGCATCCTCATCCGATGATGAAATGAAAAAGAAAATCCACCGCAAACGAAAAGCCAATTCCGAATCCAGAAACGAACGTGGCCCACCGACGATTAGAACCTTAAAGGTACACAATGCCCCACATTCCTTTAGATTTTTTAGCAATACACCATTGAAGAAAAATTGGAGATTATCAATTTTGCCAAACAATCCGGGAACCGCGCGGCTGGTCGTGAATATAATGTGGCTGAGAGTAGCATTCGGGAATGGAGGAAAAATGAGGAGCGATTGAGGTTGATTTTCGCGACTAGAATAAAGCTTTGATTTTTTAGAGCCACCCTCCAGAATGAGCCGAGTCGGAATCGTTTGGTTGGAGGTGGCAGGAAGCCCACAGAACGACGTGGAGATGATTCAGAGAATCCGGAGGTTCGTCAATTAATAAGTTATTTCTATTGTGGAGTTTTCTGGCGGTCGTGCTTTTAATGTAACGTTGGTTTTAGCCTGAACCCATCCAAGTGCCACTTTCCCTTCGCTTGATGGGTGAAGACACGGTAAGCAAAATTCTTCAGACTTTAATGTATGGTTTCTGAAGATGAACTCTACCGGATCGTCCTCCTTGAACACTAGCAGCGATCCGTCAACGACCCCGTCACCTAGCCATTCTGATGAAAAACGAGCCCGTGTTGAAGTCGAGAATATAAATGTTTGTTCTAATGATTTTATTGTAAGAAAAGCGCTTGCTGTACTATAGGAACTGTATTATAAAATAGGAATGAAAAATGAAGCGAAAATTTCTTTTCAGGGCAAACTCACCATGGCTGGAGCACCAACTATGGTCCACCCAACCCCATTCGTCATCACTCCTCCCAACCTCCTCGAGTTCTTCAAGGTCAGAATTTTCAAGAGGTTATTTATGCAAATTTTCCAGTTCCAGAACCCAGCCTTCCTTGGCATGCCCAATCTCGCGCCACTCCTCGAGAATCTTCAACAGAAAATGCGCGCCGCACCAGTCGCACCGCTGCCAAAACGGTAAAAATGATTCTATACTAAAAACCTATATTAGTGGTAAAAAAGCAACGCATTTCCGGTATATATAGGATAATGGGGGTACTAAAAACTTTTCGAGGATAGTAGTTTGGAACGTGATTTTCAATTTTTAATGTTATAAAACTTTTATCCTACTTTTTTTTGTGCTGAAAATAATTTTCTTAGTATTTCTTTCGACGCTCTATCGATTAGTGTCTACTAGACTAGTAGTCTCCCGTTCCTTCATTACCATCAACTTTTTCAGCCCGGCCCCATCCGCAGCAAGCCGTCGCAAAACTACCGTACCCAAAAAGTTGGTAATGGAAAACGAGGAACAGCTGCCGGTGGTATAAACCACTTAAATCATTGAATTTAATGCTTTTTTTGGCCTAGCCACCCATATTATGAAATTTCCATGTTCCACTCGTAGCTCCCCTCTTTGCTTTGTGGCGCTTATGTGTTTTGTGTGTTTGTTTGTTTCTCTAGCACGGTGAGTCTTTCAGCTTTATTAGTGCCTATTACCTCAGAACCATTTCAACTCCAAAAATGGCCTTAACAATCAAATATAGCCCAATACGGGTAGCTGGTGTAGATGGGGCGATTTTTTAGTAATTTTTAAAGTTTTTTGTAAAGCTTTCAATGGGATTAGAAAACCTTAAGAATATTTTTAAAAATATGGTATGAAAACCGTTTTTTAATCCAAAGAAGTCATTTAGGTACTGGACTGTTAGCGGGGCGAAGAGGTTTTTAGACGTGGGGAAAACCAATTTTTCCAAGTAAGCCTGGACGCCCCTATAAGAAATATAAACCATTTTTACATTGTTTTTCGATATAGAAAACTCATGAAATAATTATAGAAATTTTCGAAAAATTTTAATTTTGATCAAAGATTTAAGTAAACGACCAAAAACGTCAAAAATTCGATTTTTCGAAACATTTTTAGTATTAATTTTAGTCACGCCCTGCCAAAAGCCCCCCGTTAAGCGCCCAGTACCTTTCCAACCCCTTTAATAAAAGCCAGATACCGTTTTCACCGTCCCTTTCCAATCCATGCTCACCTACCGAGTGCCATTCGTCTTATACACAAAATCAAAAGCCATTTTTCGATTTTCCCGATTTTCCGATTTTTCATTTCTTTTCGATTGCCGTGATGTGCCGTCTCTTGCTCGTGCTCCTCCTCCGCCTCCCATTCGCCTTGCCAATATTGTTATATGCCATTTGCCAGTCTGTCGATAGCTTCACAAATGCTCAGTGCCAACAACTACCACAGCCATTTCATCTCGGTTCGCTTAATAAACCCGTTGCAGATTTTATTACTACATAACACAGCAATTATTCAGAAATCGATAAAGAAATTGACGAAAAAAACTTTACAAATTATTTATTTCGTTAAAAAAACTCATATTCATATATGAATTTAACGCCCTATAAGAAAATTCGGTTCTTTCGCGTTATCGGGGGGGGAACCAACTTTTTCAAGGCACCGGTTTTTCTAAGAAGTGTTTCCAAGCTGTTTTTGACTATTTCTAAAAGTAAGAACTTTAGAAAGTTCGTTTCAAATCACAAAAAATAGTTTTTTGACGAGAAACGGATGATTTTAGATCAAGATTTCACCTTAAAACTTTTTCTAACTGTTATTCCACTCGAAAAATTGTTAAATTGACTAGAAATCCATTTATTCTCACCAGACCAAACGCTCGAGTAAATAATACGCGGAATAATAGAGAATTGGAGGGCCTAGCGGTTCGGTATACAACGCCAATTCCGGGAGGCAAGCCTTTGGAAGATGTAACTAAAAGGAATACAGATTTTTCTATGTATTTTACCACTGTGGTGTCCTCTCTTTCCCGGAAGTTTGGATCGATATCCCGAGCTGTAGCTTCCGCAAAATACAGTTTCATCATATCACCACCCATCGAGATACCGATGCTATAAAAATCGATACTGGAAAATTCGGATTGCACTTACATAAATTCCTTGATAAATTCGGGATTCGAGATTTTATAGCCGCTTTGGGAAAGTACGGCTCGGATGGCTGCATCTTGAGGTGTCTAAAATTTATATTTCTTTCATCTTATTTTAATATACTATTAATTACCTCTCCTTGCGTAAGCTTTGTGCACATTGGCTCCAAGGTTACTGCATAGTCATCGTGGTACAAATCAAGGTCGATCTCTTCCAATTTCTTTCCATAATTCTCCCGTTTAGCTCGCATGCGTCCGATAGCGGCAGCTAGACAGATTTAATAAATATGAAATCTATAAAAATTCTAACCAGGTCGGAAGCGCTTCAAGAAAATCACTTCTTCCGAGTCGGTCAAGTAGAGTAAAACGGAGACACAATCGTTTCTCAATGCCAAGTCCCAAGCTCGGGTAATTCGACCCTAAATTTAATGCTATCACCTGCATCGAATTGCCACCTACCAAGCGAAAATGAGCCTTCAGCAACTCGTCCCGTTTTGGAAAGCCATCACGCGTAAATGAAAAGTTTGTCATACGATTTGGGACTTTTTCTCGCATCTTGTTTGCAAGCACTGGCTCTGACTACAGTTTTCGGCAATAAAAAACGATTTTAGAGAGCCCTACTGTAGCTTTCAAGTCCCGATTTCGATTTTTCCACCAAGCGAATGCAAACGAAAAACCGGGCGGACTACAACCAGACAGAGCTTCAGCTTCTTCGAGTGTTAGAAAAACCTGGAAATAATTATATAATGTAATTTCTACATTTTTTCTAACCTTTGTAATGGATTCCTGTTCATTTTGATTTCCACCGCCCTCACCGATCTTTCTTGTATCATCTACTTCGACGTAATACACGTTATGAGTCACTCCGCTGCTACCGAGGTCATAACTATATTCTTTATATGATATTTAAGCTGGAAAACTTACATAGAGGCTTCAATTTTCAATAGTTCCTCTGCTTTTGCCGAAAACCCACATTCCTCCATGATTTCTTCACTGGCAATTTGCTAAAAATGCTAAAAATGTAAAATTAGGAATCTAACCTCTAGCGATTTATCTTTATCCACCATTCCTGCACATAATTCTACCGTATATCTAAAATTTATGATCGATTATAGTTCTAGAAATTGTAAACTATGGCAGCATATAATTACTTACCCTAATTCCGCATCGTAATCCTCCCACTGAATTTCAGACAACGATTTCCCATGATTTTCAGCCATCTTCCGAACCCGATTAACAAAAATAGCTATAAAAAGTATAGTATAAATGTGTTAAACTTACGTGGCCTAAATTGCCTGACTACAAGAAACTTTTGAAGCCCCGTATGGTAGAGAAGAATGGCGACAGATGAGTGCTTTTCCGCAATTTCGTACGACTTTTCCTGGCCATCCTGAAAAAAATGTGCCAACATTATCCGTATCATACCTGTAAATATTTCATGAGTATTGGTTTGTAGTAGAAAGATTGGGAAATTGGTTTAAAGGACACATTTTTAAGGGTTTCCATGTTAGGGAATGGGTAGAGGTGTGGAGGGTTGTTTGTTTGCAGGGGAAATAGGTGGCCTAACGGGGTTGTTTATTTCGTCTGCCCGGGCAGATGGGGAATGACTACAAACGATAAAACCCTTTGGTCTCGGCCCGAAAGATTCAAACATATAAGTTGGAATTAACGATGGAAAAATGCAGAAAATTTATAGTTCAATGCATATCGATCGGTTTAAAGCTCAGATTTTTAAGAAATTTTTTTTTGAATGTATGAAAACGGTGAAGTATCACAGAAAAGTTTAAATTTACGTTCAAAAAAGTTTTTGTGACTTTTTATTAATCAAACATACACAAAACCTAAGAGAAAAACGCTATAAATCGCTAAAAAAGACGCAGAGTTGGTATAGGCTAAGATATAAGCCTCTCCCCACCGATAACAGTCCAGTACCAAGTGGATTGGTACATTTTTAAATTACCGAAAATGTTTGTAATATATCGAAAATAATAAACCTCAATAATTAACCCCTCCGTTATCCTAATGTGGTGCCCATTATTTTCAACCATAGTTTTTATGCTGTAAAACTGTTATCTGACATTTTTGCGCTGAAGTAATTATGTTAGTGTATTTTCAAATTTGACGTTCATTCGATGAACATTTTCAAAAACTGCACATTTGGCTTTACATTACTCCGGTACTGTCCGGCTTTTACACCATTGGGAAACCTAGTTTGCCTCCATTTTTTCTCCAGCAGATCGCTGCACAGATCCGACCAAGGTAGTGAGTCAACCCTTGTGAAATCAGATCACAAAACAGAAAAGGAGTCCTCCCAGGAGTCGGTCACTTTGCGAAAGGCTTGACCCCAGATTGAACTCGCCGCTGTCGGGGGTTTTTCTCCTCTAGAGTGACCAGCAGCGGCATCCCCTCCCTTGAGCGGGGCGGCAAAAGCCGACGCCTTAGTTCGGGCAAATAACTGTTTCCTAGCCCGCGACCCTCTTATGCCCTAGCAAACCCTTGGGATTTAGGGCGTCAGGGAAGAGTGAGTTTGGGGATGGCGGGGGGTTGTCTGTTTATTTTTCGTAACAGATAAAAGGCAGTTAGCTGTGGGGGGGCAAGTGGTCAGCCACTACAACTCACAGCTATGGTCATGCTCAGGTACGGTAGTTTTAGTGGTTATAAAGCTTTTGGCTTCATGAAACAGCTACCGGATGTTGGGACTATAAAGCTTTAAAGGGGGCGATCCTGCTTCTCACTTTGCCCTAATTCCTCTACGTAATTAGGTGTAAACGTAGTAAAGCAAAAAATACAAGCCTCCAGTAGCTGTACCTTTGAGAACTTGGAGTTTTGGGTACTGATCTATTAGCGGGGGAGGTTTTAGCATCAATTTTTCCCAGTAATCCTGTACGCTCCTAAAATAAAATAGAAGTAACATTTTACGCCGTTCTCAGATACAAAAAATTTCCAAAAAAAAAATCTAAAAATGGTCAAAAATTTTTGAGTTTTTGCCAAAAATGTATTAAAAAATGATTAAAAAGAGCCAAATTTTCGAATTTTCAACAAGGTTTAAGACATTTGTGTAAGTTTCTAGCAATTAAAAACAACATAAAAATACAGTATTTATTACTAACGGGTAGATATAGACGAAAAACAAAAACCCTTGCTAAAAATCCCCCTGCTAACAATCCAGTACTAAACCACATTTTTCAGGAATCTCCTCGTCTTGCTTTCTGCTCTTGCCGTAGCCCAGGCAACAATTGTAAGTCTTAAATTTGGCGCACTAAATATAAAATATACAAAAAACTTTAATAATTAATTTTTAGTACTACTACTACCCCTCAACAAACAGCAACGGCTGCACGAACTGCGGTACAGGTTCAAAAACCCCGGAAAAATATTCATATCTTTAGGAACGACCTACTACTACCCCAACAACAATAACAATAATGGATATACTACGTATTATTACTACCCGAACAACAACAACAACAACAACAACGGCTACAAGACTTATTATTATTATCCGAGCAACAACAATGGATACACTACCTATTACAACAACAATAATAATGGATATAGCAATGGCTACAGTATGTCTATTTTATTTAATTACTATTTTAATTTTAGTTTTCCATAATTTATGAGTTAAAACTATTTGAATTAACTTCTAACTTTGTTTTAGACACCAACGGCTACACCTACTACCTTACCTACGGGCGCAAGAAGTAAAGAACTACATCGATACTGCATCACAGCCACTATCAATCCTGAAACTGCCTGGGAATTCTAATTACGGATAAATTCACAATGTCTTACTGTATCTGACCATCAAAACTACACAAAAAAACCCAGAAAAACGCGCAAAGAACCCGACCAAGGGATAGACACGTACAGTCAGCGGTAAATAGAGAGTTGCGCCTGGAGTTGTACCTCAGGATTATGTCATTAGAGGCGACTCGGAGAAAACATGTTGCGATCGAACGGTCAAAAAATTGAGGTCAGAAAAATTGGGATTTAGATCAGGGTCCGGGTCTTTTATTTTCAGATACGGTATGGGTATTCTGACAGAAACTCGAGGAGTCAAGGGAACTAAGATAGATATGTCGCGCCTGACAAGGAATAGCCGGTACTGTTCTGTTATGCGGGGGGGGGATTGCTAAACACCATTTCTTTTTACCATAACTTATTGATTTTAGATTATTTTGGGCTGGAAAATAAAAATGTCAGTGTATGTATTTTTGATGCAGTATTAAATGGCTTTTTCAAACTGTCAAAGTAATAATGAAAATATCGAAATTTAGGGGCGCAACCAAATTTCGAATAGCTATTTTTTTGCCATAACCTTTTGAAAGGTACCTTATTTTCAGCTGTCATAAAAATTCTTAGTATTTTTTGGATGCTCTATCGAAACGCGTCAAAAAATCGTGAAAAAATGGCGAGAATATAAAAGTTTTCCCCTGGGAAAGTTCCGCCCGGATAGTCCCCCCGTATAATAGAACAGTACCGACTTCGATACAATACATCTTTTTGCATTTCCCATTTGAATCAGAACATCTCCAGATCGGGATAGGTTGGAGCAAGGGTGATGAAACCACACCCCAAAAATTACCATATTTCACTTTGCATCCCAGCAACATATGCCGCCAAATCGTCCCCCATTTCAACGAGAAAAATGTTGAGCCAATCCCCCCTGTAATAAATGTCCTCCACTCAATCCGACAGCCCTTTTTTCATCCTTCCACACTACCGGATGGGTCATTTTATTAGTTTTCGAAGCGCATTTTCAAAAGGGCGATAACGTATCGGGGCCTTTCCCACTAATCCCGTCGCGTTCCCAGCCAACGGTTGAGCCAGTGTTTTAGTAGTATTCATTTCATATCGCTTAGTATTTTGAATAACATTATTTGATTGTAATGACTGCATTAAAATATATTTAATTTTACTTAAAACTTATTATGCAAATTATGTGTATAGAAACCGAGAAACTCTTTCTATGATAAAATTAATTTTTACATGCCGTGCGGCAACCGACAACGTAGAAATTTGAGTCTTAATCGTCCATTGTCTAAAACCATATTTTGGCTTTACCTGCAAGTTTACGTTTTTAGTGTCGTCGGGTTTGCAAGCTATTTTAACGACCAAAGCTATCTTGTGGAGACTTTACGCTAATTCCGGACATTGTTACCGAATTTCCGGAGTCGCGATTTTGCGAAAGTTATGAGTGATTTAAAACAGAAAACCCATAGAAATGGCTGATTTTGAGCGTTTCTCAGCCGTACGTCGTTCATAACTTCCGGACAACCGCGTTCGCGAGTTTGATCAACATATTCGAAATCAACTTAAAATTCTACACAAGATCGGCTCGGTCCCAACTGGAAACCTCGAAAAGCTATACAAAAGTGTATTTTAGTTTTTTCTTTTTTGGTTTCTTTATAGTAACTTTAATTTTTATACAATTTTTACCCGAGTTTCACCAATTTTTGAACAACCAGGCCCGGCTTTATCTATCACCATCTCCATTGCCCTTTTTGTGTGCTGGAATGGCCGTTGGGGGGAATGGCCAGTCGCGTGCATGTTATTTGGCATTCAGATGATAATAATCAGTGTCGCCAACCCCTAGAGATGAGAGAAGCCGAGAGGATTGATGGTCGAATCGGCGAACCCGAACACAAACATTCTCGCGGTCGGCCTGCACCCGAATGGCCGCACATCCTCTATCTTAAAGCTCTGAATCGATCATTCAGCTTGTCAGATGCCGGATCGGGCTTGGCTTTGTCTCCTTTGCCACCTAGTTTCTTTACTATATACCTTAGTAGTTATAATTTAACGGGTAATTTAATATTTTTGAACATAGCCCTGTTAGTCAACAATCGACATAGTTTTTCTGGTTCCCGGAAACTATATTCACCCCAATAATTTGGCACGGCTCTATAGCCGAACAAAAATTAATTTTATAGATTTAATAGAGATATAAATTTTAGTTTTTCGCAAAACCGCCATTTTACAAGGATTTTGGAAACTTTTTCGGTTCATTACTTAGTAACGTACCCTTCAGATGTACTGTATTTTAAGCTTCTCTTCTTCCTTACCCTCAACTCTCGAAAAAATCTGAAAGATCTGGAAAAAGTTGAAACTCTGCTTTTATTAGCACTAGACGGCTTTTTCGTGCAAAACGAACCACAGGACCGGAATCCCCGCAAAAAATTGCCCCAGAACTTGGTACCACACTAAGGGAAAGCGAAAGCGATATTCCGACTAAAGGGCCAGCGACACCCATGAGGTTATGAAGCCGCCCCTGCTGTCCCTGCACCTTTAGAAAGCCGATTTTGACAAAACAGCACGTTCGATACCACTGTCCGGACCCATTTTTCGAGCTGATTCCGAATTCGCGCACCAAAATGTTCAGAAACTAACTCCTGACCCGCAAAATTTTAGTTTTTCGCAAAAACGCGATTTTACAAGGGTTTTGGAAACTTTTTCGGTTCATTACTTAGTAACGTACCCTTCAGATGTACTGTATTTTAAGCTTCTCTTCTTCTTTACCCTCAACTCTCGAAAAAATCTGAAAGATCTGGAAAAAGTTGAAACTCTGCTTTTATTAGCACTAGACGGCTTTTTCGTGCAAAACGAACCACAGGACCGGAATCCCCGCAAAAAATTGCCCTAGAATTTGGTGCCACACTAAGGGAAAGCGAAAGCGATGATCCGACGAAAGGGCCAGCGGCACCCATGAGGTTATGAAGCCGCCCCTGCTGTCCCTGCACCTTTAGAAGCCGATTTTGACAAAACAGCACGTTCGATACCACTGTCCGGACCCATTTTTCGAGCTGATTCCGAATTCGCGCACCAAAATGTTCAGAAACTAACTCCTGACCCGCAAAATTTAAGTTTTTCGCAAAAACGCGATTTTACAAGGATTTTGGAAACTTCTTTTGGTTCATTAGTTAGTAAAGTATCCTTTAGAGTGTACTGTATTTTAAGCTTCTCTTCTTATTTACACTAAATACTCGAAAAATCTGAAACAGCTGGAAAAAGTTGAAACTCTGCTTTTATTAGCACTAGATGGTTTTTTCGTGCAAAACGAACCACAGGACCGGAATCCCCGCAAAAAATTGCCCCAGAACTTGGTGCCACACTACGGGAAAGCGAAAGCGATATTCCGACTAAAGGGCCAGCGGCACCCATGAGGTTATGAAGCCGCCCCTGCTGTCCCTGCACCTTTAGAAGCCGATTTTGACAAAACAGCACGTTCGATACCACTGTCCGGACCCATTTTTCGAGCTGATTCCGAATTCGCGCACCAAAATGTTCAGAAACTAACTCCTGACCCGCAAAATTTTAGTTTTTCGCAAAAACGCGATTTTACAAGGGTTTTGGAAACTTTTTCGGTTCATTACTTAGTAACGTACCCTTCAGATGTACTGTATTTTAAGCTTCTCTTCTTCTTTACCCTCAACTCTCGAAAAAATCGGAAAGATCTGGAAAAAGTTGAAACTCTGCTTTTATTAGCACTAGACGGCTTTTTCGTGCAAAACGAACCACAGGACCGGAATCCCCGCAAAAAATTGCCCCAGAACTTGGTGCCACACTAAGGAAAGCGAAAGCGTGATCCGACGAAAGGGCCAGCGGCACCATGAGGTTATGAAGCCGCCCCTGCTGTCCCTACCTTTAGAAGCCGATTTTGACAAAACAGCACGTTCGATACCACTGTCCGGACCCATTTTTCGAGCTGTTCAATTCGCGCACCAAAATGTTCAGAAACTAACTCCTGACCCGCAAAATTTTAGTTTTTCGCAAAACGCGATTTTACAAGGGTTTTGGAAACTTTTCGGTTCATTACTTAGTAACGTACCTTCAGATGTACTGTATTTTAAGCTTCTCTTCTTCTTTACCCTCAACTCTCGAAAAAATCTGAAAGATCTGGAAAAGTTGAACTCTGCTTTTATTAGCACTAGACGGCTTTTTCGTGCAAAACGAACCACAGGACCGGAATCCCCGCAAAATTGCCCTAGAATTTGGTGCCACACTAAGGGAAAGCGAAAGCGTGATCCGACGAAAGGGCCAGCGGCACCCATGAGGTTATGAAGCCGCCCCTGCTGTCCCTGCACCTTTAGAAGCCGATTTTGACAAAAGCACGTTCGATACCACTGTCGGACCCATTTTTCGAGCTGTTCGAATTCGCGCACAAAATGTTCAGAACTAACTCCTGACCCGCAAAATTTAAGTTTTTCACAAAAACGCGATTTTACAAGGATTTTGGAAACTTCTTTTGGTTCATTAGTTAGTAAAGTATCCTTTAGAGTGTATGTATTTTAAGCTTTCTTCTTATTTACACTAAATACTCGAAAAATCTGAAACAGCTGGAAAAAGTTGAAACTCTGCTTTTATTAGCACTAGATGGTTTTTTCGTGCAAAACGAACCACAGGACCGGAATCCCCGCAAAAATTGCCCCAGAACTTGGTGCCACTACGGGAAAGCGAAGCGATATTCCGACTAAGGGCCAGCGGCACCCATGAGGTTATGAAGCCGCCCCTGCTGTCCCTGCACCTTTAGAAGCCGATTTTGACAAAAAGCACGTTCGATACCACTGTCCGGACCCATTTTTCGAGCTGATTCCGAATTCGCGCACCAAAATGTTCAGAAACTAACTCTGACCCGCAAAATTTAAGTTTTCGCAAAACGCGATTTTACAAGGGTTTTGGAAACTTTCGGTTCATTACTTAGTAACGTACCCTTCAGATGTACTGTATTTTAAGCTTCTCTTCTTCTTTACCCTCAACTCTCGAAAAAATCTGAAAGATCTGGAAAAAGTTGAACTCTGCTTTTATTAGCACTAGACGGCTTTTTCGTGCAAAACGAACCACAGGACCGGAATCCCCGCAAAAATTGCCCTAGAATTTGGTGCCACACTAAGGGAAAGCGAAAGCGATGTCCGACGAAAGGGCCAGCGGCACCCATGAGGTTATGAAGCCGCCCCTGCTGTCCTGCACCTTTAGAAGCCGATTTTGACAAAACAGCCGTTCGATACCACTGTCCGGACCCATTTTCGAGCTGATTCCGAATTCGCGCACCAAAATGTTCAGAAACTAACTCCTGACCCGCAAAATTTAAGTTTTTCGCAAAAACGCGATTTTACAGGATTTTGGAAACTTCTTTTGGTTCATTAGTTAGTAAAGTATCCTTTAGAGTGTACTGTATTTTAAGCTTCTCTCTTATTTACACTAAATACTCGAAAAATCTGAAACAGCTGGAAAAAGTTGAAACTCTGCTTTTATTAGCACTAGATGGTTTTTTCGTGCAAAACGAACCACAGGACCGGAATCCCCGCAAAAAATTGCCCCAGAACTTGGTGCCACACTACGGGAAAGCGAAAGCGATATTCCGACTAAAGGGCCAGCGGCACCCATGAGGTTATGAAGCCGCCCCTGCTGTCCCTGCACCTTTAGAAGCCGATTTTGACAAAACAGCACGTTCGATACCACTGTCCGGACCCATTTTTCGAGCTGATTCCGAATTGGTGCACCAAAATGTTCAGAAACTAACTCCTGACCCGCAAAATTTTAGTTTTTCAGAAAAACGCGATTTTACAAGGATTTTGGAAACTGTTTCGGTTCATTATTTAGTAACGTACCCTTCAGATGTACTGTATTTTATGCTTCTCTTCTTCTTTACTCTCAACTCTCGAAAAAATTCTGAAAGATCTGGAAAAAGTTGAAACTCTGCTTTTATTAGCACTAGACGGCTTTTTCGTGCAAAACGAACCACAGGACCGGAATCCCCGCAAAAAATTGTCCCAGAACTTGGTGCCACACTAAGGGAAAGCGAAAGCGATGATCCGACGAAAGGGCCAGCGGCACCCATGAGGTTATGAAGCCGCCCCTGCTGTCCCTGCACCTTTAGAAAGCCGATTTTGACAAAACAGCACGTTCGATACCACTGTCCGGACCCATTTGTCGAGCTGAGTCCGAATTCGCGCACCAAAATGTTCAGAAACTAACTCCTGAACCGCAAAATTTTAGTTTTTCGCAAAATCGCGATTTGACAAGGATTTTGGAAGCGTAACACCTGTTCGATTGATTACTTAGTAAAACATCCCTCATTGTGTATTTTTTCAACCTTGCTTTTTATCGTCGCGTCGCTTTCCGAGCGAACGGCTGACCCATTGTTTTAGTAGTGTTCTATGGGGTTTGCCTGGCTGCTGATGTGAATGAAGTTTGTAAATTTAGCTCCATCGAAGATTGTCGTAACAAATCTACTATATATAAATTTCTAATGTCCGTCTGCCCGTCCGACCGTCCGACCGACCGGGAATTCAGCCAAGTTTTGCATTCAAACTCAAAATTCAAAGTGTGGCGGAGAGTGCCAACGCTGAACCCCCGCGTAACCGAAAGTTATGGCCGAGCAAAGACCGAGAAGCGCCGAAAATCGGCCATTTTCCAGGGATTTCCAGAATAAATCATTCATAAATTTAGAAAATCCCGATTTGGCAATTTTGGTAAACATGCTCAAAATCAGTGTTAAATTCTGCACAAGATTAGGTCCGGTCCGAAATTGAACCCCCGTATGGTAATCGTTATTTTTACACAGGTTTTACCCAAATTCCCAGAAAATTTCACCAAATACCCAAACCCACTCGCCGGCTTTATCTATCACCATCTCCATTGCCCTTTTTGTGTATGTTAGAATGGCCGTTGGGGGGAATGGCCAGTCGCGTGCATGTTATTTGGCATTCAGATGATAATAATCAGTGTCGCCAATCCCTAGAGAAGAAGGCGGCGGCCAGATTGATGGTCGAATCGGCGAACCCGAACACAAACATTCTCGCGGTCGGCCTGCACCCGAATGGCCGCACATCCTCTATCTTAAGCTCCGAATCGATCATTCAGCTTGTCAGATGGCGGATGTGATTTTAGCATTTCTCTGTTAATTTCTTAACCTTTGAGCGCTAAACTTTTAGTAAATTAGCAAATTAAGGGTTGAAAAAGCTGCACAGCATTACAATCTTGGCCACGTCTAGAACCCTATTAATCAACAACTTGCGTAGTTTTCCGGTAATCGACTAATATCAGGGGAAACCGGATTTTCCAAAGTAATTCTGTTCGGCCCTACAGCAAAATATAAACCATTTTATAGCATTTAGATGTTTTTTGTATATAACAGCTTATAAAAAACGCAGAAATTTTCGAAAATTTTTGCCTTTGTGGTCGAAAATGTACAAAATGGCTCTTAAGGGCCAAAATTGTCGATTTTTCCACATTTTAAATTTTTTTTTGTAACGGTTTAGCGATCAAGAACTAAGAAAAACATCAGGAAAAACTTTAGATATTATTAACCGGTTTTCCCTGCTAAACTTCTGCCCTCGCCAACAGTCCGGTACCGTTCCTCCCAAATACTGAGACAAGAAAATACGAAAAAAGCACTCGCTCTGTCTTCTCATCTAAACTATCCCCCAACTTCCGCTTTTTCCAACCATCTATTCGAGGCTTGCACTAACCATTCTTATTCAAAGCAAATATTTATCCCGTGGGTAACCCCTCCTTCAATAGGCGACAATCCAGAGTAAACAGTTCGGCCGTCTTTGTCCATATTCGGGCCCCAGGGGTCAAAGGGCCCAAAGGATTTTCCAATTTATTTTATCCTCGAATTCTTCGTTTTCTTGAGCAGCTTGATCTCCATATATTTTTAGACTATATGCCGCCAGAATGAGCTTGAACATACTTTTCGGAATATATGCCTTAATAGCATGCAGCTTGGCCGCCGGAAATACCTCTTTTGTAATTGATTATGACAATAATCAATTTTTGCTTGATGGGCAGCCGTTTCGTTATATTTCTGGTAATGGAACGATGCATTAAAGGCTCTAATAGGCCGTTAATCACCTAACACTTTGCAATTCAGGAACTCTCGATTATTATCGTATTCCACGCGACCTATGGGTTGATCGGTTATCTCGAGTATCGGCCCTTGGACTCAATGCTATACAGTTTTATGTTCCCTGGAATTGGCATGAAGAGAAAGAAGGGCGGTAAGTTACGGCGAAAGCGGGGTGTCCCCAAAAACGACCCATCCGGCCTTTCATCGCATGACATCCGATCGCGCTCAAAATTGGGCCAGAAGTGCACTAGACCTTACATAACAATACTCCTGACTCATTGCCCAGTAATAGTAGTAGTGGCTTTTGAGTTACAGCAAAAATACTGTTTTCTACGTAATTCTAAACAATTTTTTCGGCTCTCTGTTTCCACGTTGCCTCGATTTGCATCGACTTCCGGCTGAGAAGCCTAATTCCGCTTGAGATCTTGGGCAATTTTGCGCTGTAAGCATTTTGTAAAATCAAGGCTTATTTAATTCATTTTAGTTTAGAAGAAATTTTAGAGGATAGAGAAGACTTGCCGAATGATTTACATTTAATATTTAGGGGCTCTATCCCATGGGAGCCCTATCAAAATTGGAAATAACGTTTATTTTGCTCTAGCTCGAAATTTACTTCAACGACAGTGCTAGAAGTCAGGATTACTGTTATTTAGAGTCTGATTCAACTCTGGTCCAATTTTGGGACCGTTTGTATGTAAGGCGGCGAAATGCCGGATGGGTTTTTTCAGGACATCCTGTATATCCACCTACCAAAAGCGCATTCCAGCTTCAATTTTGCCGGAGATCGAGCCGTCACCGATTTTATCGAACTCGCGGAACAAAAGCAATTATATACATTGCTCCGGATCGGTCCCTACATCTGCGCGTTAGTATCCGCTCGTTTTAATATATTTGATACCTATAGAGAATGGGAAAACGGTGGATTGCCATGGTGGCTGCTGAAGCGAGAGAATATAAGCCAGCGTACAAGTGACCCGAAATTTACAAGTGCTGTCGAGAAGTAAGTTAAACTACCGGGCTCAACAGGCATTTTTAGATGGTTCGAGGTGCTGCTCCCCAAAATCAAGCCTTATTTAAGAGAGAATGGAGGGCCAGTGCTGATGGTGAGCTTAATTTTACTGAGACTTTAATGATTTTAAATTTCAATTTAAACGAAGCGTTAATCTAGGTCCAAGTGGAGAACGAATATGGCAGTTTTCCATACCCAGACCCGGTCTATACTGTATGGCTTCGTGATTTGATTCGAAAACATTTGGGCCCAAATGTCGTATTGTATACAAGTTGGTTTTTAGCTTAAAAATCAAATCAAATATAGCTGAATGTAACTTTATGACTTAAAAAATTAACTTTAAAAATACGAAATTTTAGCTGACGGCGGATCAGATGGTTACCTACAAAATGGCGCAATCCCAGAAGTATTTGCCACTGTGGATTTTGGTCCGAGAAAGGACGTTAGCGTCCCGTTTTCGGCACAGCGGAATTATACAAATCAAAAGGGTAAGAATTCACTAAATTTTTCGTCAAAAATCTTCATATTTAGGGCCGCTCGTAAATTCTGAATTCTACACCGGATGGTTGAATCTTTGGGGTGACACCGATAGTGGGTCGCCTACTTCGGCTGAAATTGTGGAAAGCGCAAAGTAAGTTAATTTCCCTTGATCTTACGGCACGATTTTTCAAGAGCAATGTGGGATGCGGGCGCTTCATTTAATTTTTATATGATACATGGTGGGACGAATTTTGGGTTTTGGAATGGAGCGGAAGTGAATGCGCCGGTGAGGGATTTTTAATAAAGCATCAGAAGTATGATTGCAGAAAAGTATTATAATCTGTTAAATTTTAAGTTTTAAAATATACTTGAAAGGGTATAAAATAAATTGTAAGCTATTAAATATGCTATTATTTAAAATACGTCTTTTAATAGCTTAAATTATAGGTTGTAACCTCCTATGACTATTCCGCGCCTATAAACGAGGCCGGCGACATTACACCAAAATATGTGGCCATTGGAAATTGGATTGCCTCGCTAATAAATTGGCCAAAAAAACCGTCACTATTACCTGCAAATAGCACGTAAGATACTTTTATTAGATTTTGATAGATTTTTGTAGAAAAATTGCTTATGGAAATCTTGGATTCAAAAGAATCTCGACAATCCCGAATTCGCAGCTTGGTGATTGCAAACAGGGAGCATTAAGCTTCGAGGAAATGGATTTTCCATATGGTTTTTTGTATTATTCATCGGTAAAATTTCCCCAGAAAACCAAAGATTATTGTATCTAGGCATTGCCGCCCAATAGTAAAGAACTGTTCCTGCCTCGCGGAAGTTATAAAGATTTTGCCTATGTCTTCGTTGATGGGGTTTATCAAGTAAGTTTAATAAGTTTGCCATAACTAATTTACTCAGGGAATGATGTCACAATATAACAACGATACTTCTCTACAGTTACAAGCAGAGGGAAAGACTTTGGTGTTGATTATAGAAAATCAGGGTCGGCTAACTTATGAGACGATTAATGATTATAAGGTATATTTTTGCTCCTTACTATGCTAATTACTACTTAAGGGTCTTTTGGGAAAGGTATTCGTTGCTGATCCCGCTTGGAATCTAGCACAACTGGTGAATTGGACAACATGTGAGGTCAATCTGGATACGTTGACCACAATCGACACCGCAGGCTTGGAAGTTTGTTATTTTCGGTATTGTCTGAGCGTGCTAGTACACGACAACATTAACTGTAAGAAACCTTTCAGCCGGCCAATCATGGCCTGTATCTGGCAACCTTAAACATCTCAACCAGAGCCGATACCTATTTTGACTTTTCCACCTGGGGCAAAGGCGTTTTCTTTGTGAATGGCCAGAACATGGGGCGATTCTGGAATATTGGACCTCAGGTAAACCGTTTAAAAAATATATGATACTGTGCTCTAGATGACTTTGTACGTGCCTGCAAGGTATCTAAATATCGGATTAAATCGGTTCCACATCCTTGAGCTGACCGATGTTGGCCCGCAGGGTAATTTTGCATCGTTAATCGATTACTTACTGGATAATAGATGCCACCAACTCAAGCCGATCCGTCCCGTCTTTGGACTATCCGATCTGGATTTGGGCCGATGAAATCCAGAGTACCTCAACGGTGTCAATAACTACTACCTCAGCTGCGAATAAGATTCTTCAATTTTTCCAGTTCATGTTACCGGTATTATGCTTGATATTTTTCCTGTAAATATTGTTGTGATGTTAAGCTGAAAGATAAAATAGATCTGGTACCCATTATTTCTAAAATTTTAGATTTCTGTAGGATTTCGCGAGTGCCATTTTATAAAGTATCGAAAATAAAATAAGACGGTTTTATAGCATGAAAAATATGGCTAAAAACTACGAACATTTTCCATATTTTCGCTATTTCGTAAATGCCATTCAATAGATAGCCGAAAAATATACTAAACGCTTTTTTATGGCCCGAAAAGACTATATCTAAAACCATTCTTATTATAAAAACTTTGAGTGCCCCCCCCGCTATCCGATTTGTACCGTAAACTTTTCACAAGCTCTCAAGACGGTCTCTTTCGTTCAACTTTTTGTACAAAATTTCCTCACACACTCCCTCAAAATTACCTTCCATTAACGTGGGTGGTCCCCCTTAGCCCGCGCACGCCATACTTTTTTGGTGTTGCCGCCCGAACTTTCGTTTTAGGGATGCCACCAGGGGTTGGTGTAAGAAAAGCAAATAGAACACACGAACGGACTACCGAGTCCATTCAAAATACAGCCCACCACACTCCAAAGCCCCCCCACCGTAGACGTTTCCCTTCTATTCAAAAAGTTGACCCCAAATACAGGGCGCTGTCTGAGATTTTTGGTCGGTTAGAATACGATGGATATGACGGAAGAGGCGCCGAAATCTGTGCTAATCACTGGAGCTAATCGTGGGATTGGTCTTGGGTTGGTGAAGAAGTTTTTGGAGTTGGATGAGGTGAGACTGTATAATCTGTCTAGAATTACGGATTTAAGGTTGTTCATGTTTTCGCGACGACCAGAAACGCAGCTACAGCCACGGTAATCGTTTGGAATATAATTAACTTAAATTCTAGGACCTGAAAAACATTGATGATCCGCGGCTTCACATTGTCGAAATGGATATTCAAGATGATGAGATGATTCGAAAAGCCGCGAATCTTGTATGTGGTTTTTCGAAATTTATATCATTAAGTTTAGATTGGGAAGGTGGTCGGAAAATCGGGTTTAAATTTGATTGTCAACAACGCTGGCCTCTGGAACCATTATTTTGTATGTAATTTATATAGATTAACTTTCGCTCCAGGTGTAACGTCAAGTGTATCTTAATGTGATTTACAAAAATTATTAACATTCATTTAGTTTGACAAGTATCAACCCGAGTTGATCCCGGATATGCTTGACGTGAACTCGATCGGACCACTCGTTTTGACCCAGGTGATACTTATTTTAAAATATTTTAACGTAAAGATTAGATCTTCCTTCCGCTTCTCCGTCGTGCGGTCAACCCGAAAAAGCCGCTTGGGGTCGCAAATGCGGCCGTGATCAATATTACGTCATTGGGCGGGTCGCACTCGTTTAACACATATGGCTCGTTTTTTTATGGAGACAATGGCTTCCATTTGGATGGTCTATTGCCGTATAGTATGAGCAAAGTAAGTGCCTACAACCAATTCAAGACGTTCGGCCCATTCTAGAGTGCCGCCAACATGATGACTCGTTGTCTGGCTGGGGATTTGATCCGTGAGGGGATACTGGTGTGCTGCTTTTGCCCTGGGCTTGTCAAGACGGATATGGGGACGGAGAAGGCTTATATTACGGTAGGAAAATCTGAGCATGAACTTTCGAAATTCAAAAATGTTCCAGGTTGAGGAATCTGCCGGCGCGCTCGTTCCAAATTTCCTAAAACTTCAAGTGCAACATTCGGGCGGCTACTTCTCACATCAAGGGATACCACTCGGATTTTGAGACGGCATGATTTTTACACCAAATTTTTCTATAACGTATAAAAAATAAATATTTTGTGGAACTGCCTACTTCAAGAGCATACTGTATACAGCTTAAAACCCAAGGCGAACTATGCAAAATGAGCAAAGCAAAGTCTTCTTTCAGCGTCGTGCTCTAGTTTATGGGCCTCATTTTCTCTGTAAAACCACCATCTTCAACAACATACTGTAAGCATTATAAAACCTAACACAAACTACGTGAAATCGGCCCTTAACGCTTTCAACGTCATCTGCTAGTTTGTTGCGCTGAAATGCTACCAGCAGACGAACCAAGCCAGCCTCAACTCTTCCTCTAGTTTGTAACCCTCAAATTCCAATCCCAGACGAGCCACGCAGTACACTTCACTTTTTCTTTAGCCTCAAAAAGCAGTGGGAGGAGTCTGTTCCGAGACTTCCTCAAACAGCACTTATTTGTGTTCCTATTCATCTTGGCGGGGCAGACGAACGGTGGGTGTCCTTTTCAAACCAAAAATAAATAATGGAGGAGTTGGCTAGGCGCCAAAGAATTTAGTCTGAATTTTTTCATGGGGGTGTTTTATTCAATTTTTCTAGATGCAAAACGGCCGAAAGCGAGTTCATAGAGGCCGAAAGGCGGTTGCTCGTCTGGAATCTGCGAAGAAACCGAAATTAGAGGTGAATTCACAGTGAATATAATTATCTAATTTAGAAATCGACGAAGAGCCCGTTGTCGCTAAAAATTTGTGGAAATAAGGAGCAACGTTGGGATGCCGTGATACGGTATGTCGAGAAACTATAAAGACGTTGGAGTTGCAAGTCGGCGAGGTTCTTAGTTAAGCCAAACCTATCTTGTGCTGAATTCTACGCTGATTTTGAATATATTTACCAAATTTGCGAAATCTCTGTTTTCCGAATGTTATGCACGACCTAAGGCAAGGGAAGCGCTGAAACTGAGCCCCCTTTGCATGGGGTTCTCGGCTTAAGTAGTTCATAACAGTCGGAAAATTGCTATTTTGCAAATTTCCCCAAAGTCCTTCTGAATTAACACCAAATTCTGCACAGGATAGGTTTGGCACAATTTGAATCCCCGACGAAACTAAAAAATCTCCCTATTAGAACGCCGGATTCAAAACTTCAAATCCCGCGCTCGATCCTTGTCAACGGCGCCAATACCGAAATTGGTTTTGAATTTGTCAAGAAGTTCTTGGAATTTGAAGACGTCGAGTCGATCATAGCCGTTGTTGTCGGAAGTGAAACAAATGCGGTAAATTGTAAACAATAATTTATCTATTTTACTTAATTTAGGGACTCGAAAAACTAACTGATGCTCGAGTAAGGGTTGTAAAAATCGCCAGTGATGATGTGGGCGCCTCTATTGGGCTGGCTGGAAAGAAGGTATTTTTTACTAAATATAAAATATATAATATAAAATACAATCTACTATTACTAACCTATTGTGCTTAGATCGCTGCACTCACCAAAAATGTCGGAATAAATTTGGTGCTGAATTGCACGCTAAAATTTGAAGCATACCAGGTAAAATTAGAATTCAGCGTGGTAAGAGTCATACCTTTTAAAGCTCAACGAAAAGCCGGACCGTCACAAGTTGCAGAAAATCATGATGGAAAACGTGACCAGCCCGTTGCTTCTGACCCAGGTCTTTAGTGTTCTTTCATTTCTTCCATTTTCACAGAATTTAGACAATACTGCCAATTCTCCGGAAATCGGCACAGACTGCTAAGGATTTAGCAATTGGACCCGGGCGTTGCATGATTGTAAATGTGGCTCCAATTCAGTCATCTTTGACTGTAAACAACACTGGGACAACGATTTTGGGACTAGCTAATGCTACAGGATATGCCATGGCTACAGTAAGCGATGTTGTTTTCTAGGCTTATTTATCGAAAATCATTTTGTCGAAATTTCGATGCCTTTTTCGTCTCGATGATTCATCTTAAGCGTTTTTGCAAAATCATGTTTTGACAAGACTGATGTTTCGGCAAAATAAAAAAATTTCGACAAATCATTTCGGCAAACTGACAGCAAATCGTCTTTGTATAAAGCATTCCTGATTTCAGAGTGCTTTAAATCAACTAACACGTGGATTGGCTGCCGATTTGCTTCCTCATGGGATAATGACCATATCAATGATGCCTGGTGTTGTCAAATCAAAGCACGAGCCCGCTGCTGTATTGAATGTGATTTTCGTGGCTATATTTTTTTATCAAATTTTATATTTTATAACGTATTACGCTTCTAGCCAGCTGATTCGGTGCAGCTGATGGTCACCACACTGCTCAAACTCCAGCAACATCACAATGGGATGTTCATCTCGCTGTTGGGAAACCCTGTGGATTTTTGAAGTTTTTATTGATCCGATTTATCATGCTTGTTTTGAATCTTCATTTTCTAAGTAGTTTTGGAGCATTTAATAGCAGTATAAACCCTTCGGCAGTTCAAAATGAGTATCAATTTCAATAAACAGCACGTGTATCACGGCAAAGAACACAGCAAATCGGATTTGAATGTGTAATGGGGTGGGGGTGAACGAGGGGGTTATTGCTTTAGTGTTTCGTTTAAAATGTTTAACTGTTCGGATCTTTTTTCAAGCTTCGCTTCAGACAAATCAATGGCTCATAAACAAGCTTATCAGGGAAGACATGGACCGATTCGAGGGGCTTGTTTTTAGCGTTCATTTCTGGAAAACGCTTCTTGCCATTTGGCTTTCTATAAAACACAGGACCAATTTTTTTACATATAGGATACGACTACGAAGTACGATCATCCTTGTTTGTTTGTATAGATTAGCTTAAATGTTTTATAGAATCAATAAAAAAATATCTGAATTTACAGCCTAAATTTGAGCATCTATACTTTTTGCACATTTTTCGCGTTAGTAAAGTACGTTTGTTTTAATGGTTTTGTGGCTGGTAGCAACGTGTATTGTATGTGTGCTATTATGGAATTGTTTACGTGTCACCCCCAACAATTCCCCTGCCCCTGTTCCCATATCTACGAATCGACACGCCACACCCACAATCCCCGGGGTAAAAGATCAACTGCTGGTCGATGCGAGGGCACAATAAAAAAAATAGTAACTGGCTTTTTGAAGATTGCATTTTTCAATCCTTTTATCGTATTTTCTCTTATATCCAAAAATTCTCCCATTTGATGCTCGAAAACTAGAAACCTCCTCCTAATAAAATTTCTCAGTAGCTTCCTGTTTTGTTCATGGAGCCTAGCTACCCCCTAAATACAGTCTTTTTGAGTTAATACAAAAATTAACTTTTTCTTGCGGTTTTAACCGGATTTACTGAAATTGGCCCTCGGAATGTATAACAAAAATGAAGCGCCCAGTTTTTTTCCTAGGAAATGTTTCATTTTGGCATCGGCTTCGAAATGGGTTATTTAAGTCAATATCGCACGGTATGACCAAAGCTCACAGAGCGGGAGGCTTATGTTAATTTTACAAAGTCCAAAACGGTAGCCGAAAAATGACGCAAAAATGTGGAAGTTCGGTATTTTTGCAATAAATAGAAAACTACTGTAGCGATTGAGCCGAAGGGTTTTCTGTGAACATCTTAGATACCTTTGCACCACTTTGTTTCCCTTTTTGATCCCTAACTTCATAACAGCAACCTTCAGAGTGCTTGAATAAATATAGAATACTTGGGGAAATACAATACCCCTTTCATTTTCTTGAAGTTAATTTGAACGCAACTGAAATAAACTGCCCCGAATCTTTGTGTATTGTGTTCTGGTCTTATTTTTATTCTCGTTACCCAAAAAGTGATGCATTTTTCCCCCATTTTGCGCCTTTTATCTTTGATCCGCCCACTCAAGTGTCAATACAAATATCTGGTGATGCCTTGTTTATTGCGCGGCAGCAGGGGTTTCTTCCCGATGCACGTGCCTATTTGTGGTTTCCCCCGGCAATTAGGATGTGATTTTCAATAGCTTTCGTGTAACCCTTCAAACTCTATAACTATCCTAAAATTGGTCTTAATATTATTTTAGAAGATGGAATACGTTACACTGACGACTGGGGCCAAGATGCCCCTCCTTGGTTATGGAACCTGGCAGGTGAGCAGGATTTTTTATATTTTAAACCTTAAAATTCCAGGCAAAGGATGAAACCGAATTGTCGGCTGGGCTACGAGCAGCCCTTGACTACGGCTATCGCCTTATCGATACCGCTTATCTCTATGGAAATGAGCATATCATCGGAAATGTAAGCTCTACATAAAAGGCCAATAGGTTTCCTGGCGGCAAAATAGTTTTTAAATGGTTTTTTTGGGCTACAAAACAAGCTCTTGTTATATTTATTATTCAAATTTTTATTATTATTCTTATTCGAAACATGAAAAAATAATGAGCGCCTTATGCCGGTTTTTACATTCCCGATTCTAGGTCCTCAAGGAATACTTCGACGCCGGGAAACTGAAGCGCGAGGATATTTTCGTGACTACAAAGGTGAGAGGCTATACTATAAACTTAGACTATAAACTATAAAGTACCAACTATAATAATTTTCTTGACGCGTCTGTCCGTCTGTCTGAAGCCGAATTCAACTCGAAGGGGAAAGGAGCTAGAGCTTAGCTCTTTTCGGATTCGGATAGAGCGTGGTCAGAAACCCCCAAACTGATAAAAAATTATGAAAAAGTTTTAGTTTAAATTATTAAAATTAACTTTGAAAGTTTTTTCCTTAGCAAAAGGGGTGGGGGACGGAGGTTGGGGTGATTTTGGACATAGTGAGCCAGGTCGCGCGCGTTTCGTCGATGAAAATTTTCACGGGGGATTTTATTTCTTTTTTTTTCTCTCATTCCATCCGGTAGGTTGTTATTTTGGGTTTTTAAGGGGATTTCGGCTAGGGGAGGTATCTTAAAGCATCTGGAAGGTATTTAGGTAGTTTTTGAAGGGGATTTCAGCCATGGGGGTATCTGAAGCCATCAGGAAGGTATTTAGGTAGTTTTTGAAGGGGATTTCGGCTAGGAGAGGGTCTGAAGCCGTCAGGAAGGTATCGAAGTAGTTAGTGGAAGCAGGTTGATAGGTAGGTGTATTACATGGAGGGTAACCCGAAGGCCAGATGGTTACAGTCGCGAAGCGACTGGAACCATCTGGTCGTTATTTTAGCTCCCATTCACCGCTCATCACCCCACCGATGTTGATGAGGTGGTCACCCACCAGTTGAAGGCGCTCCAGCTGGACTATGTCGATTTGTACCTCATGCACAGCCCCTGTCCATTTAAGGTTTATAGATTTGTAACCAAAAATCTACAATTTTTTAGAAACAAATCGATTCGTTCGCGGCTCAAGCCGTTGACGGGCAAATGGTTGCTGAGGACGTACCGCATATCGACACTTGGCGAGAATTTGAACGATTGTTTAAGGAGGGAAAGCTTAGGGTAAGGGTCTGATTTGGTATCGGTGTTTAGAAATGTTGTCTCGGCTCCCTGTTTATCTACAGGTGTGTAAAGTATACCAAAATACTCGCCGATACAAAAGTTGGGGGCCGGCTGGGGGGTAAACTGAACACTTACCATTAAAGCGCACGTTCAGGGAGGGGCCGTGTACTCGTCCCAACGTGTACACCCTATAGACGTTGGGACCGCGCGCATTGCCTGCCCGTGCTGTGACAGGCCATTCCGCTCCTTTGCGGGGTGAGGCGCCCCTCGCCCCCTCGCCAGGTTGCACCTGTGGCTGACTGGTACGCGACCGCGTCTCCCGATCGGGAGGCCCGGGTTCGACCGCCGGCCGCGGCAAAAATTTTTGCTTTTTTCCAAAAAAACGTCCCTGAACGTGCCCTTTAATTTTGTCAAAATTTTAATTTGCCGTATTACAGGCAATCGGCTTGTCGAACTTTAACGATGATCAGGTCAAGGATCTCTACGAAAAGGCTGAGATCAAGCCCCACAACCTCCAGGTCTGACGCCTCTGTTTGCGACTATGAGCATGAATTTTCAGGTCGAAGCCCACATCTACTGGCCCCAATACGAGCTGGCCGATCTTTGCAAGAAGCTCCACATTTCGTTCACCGCCTACGCCCCGATTGGATCGCCAGGTGGGACTAAAAATAGCTCGGCGGCAATTCGTAACTTTTACAGGCCGCAAGGCTGCCCGTCCGGATGGAAACTGGCCGGAGGGAGACCCACTTGTCGAGCCGGTCGTTCAGGAGATTGCCAAGAAACACGGAAAGACACCGGCTCAGGTAAAATGATGGAAATGCTTTTTCCGAACCTGCGATATGATCATATTTGAAAAGTTACTAACAATGTAAGACTTAAAGGGATAACGTCGACATAAGTAGTCGGTGACGCGAGGGGAAAATGTCTCTGCGTCTCGCGCCTGGCCGCGTTCGCTGCCTATCCCTTTAAAGTCGGAAAATACCCAAAATAGCCGACTAGTGCCATTTGTCGCACTTTGAAGCATCCTAGCTTTTTTATTGCAGCCGTTTCGCAGGACCTTTTTGATCAGAAAAAAATCCGCATAAAATAGGCTAGGTTCAAAATGAATATCTATAAATGTCCAGGTACTTCTGCGTCACCTCGTTCAGCGCGGTATCTCTGCCATCCCGAAATCGGTACGCCCGGACAGGATCCGCGAGAATTTCGACATCTTTGACTTCAAGTAAATTTGAATTTTGGGTTTTGAAAAATCGGTTAAGGCTCTCCTCCGAGGAAGTGCATGAGCTTGAGGCAATTAAGACGCGTGTTCGTCTCTTCGTCTTTGATTTGTAAGTAGTTTAGATATTTCGTATCGTATATGTTTATTTTCATTTTGACATCTACATTTTTTTCAGCGGCCGTGGCCACCGCTACTTCCCCCACAAGGACCTCGCTTAAATCGGATGGATAAGCCAGAAAACCGAAGTGTTTTTTTTCAGTTAGTAGTGTATACAATAAAGCATTTTTTGAAGGTATTTTAATACATGAAAAAATGGCAAAGGTGTTTTGAATGTGTTACTGCTATAACCTTGCGTATAAAAATTTATGCAAATGAAAAACCGGAAAGCCGAAGAGAAATCTAATTACATTGTAAATACATACACCCAGGGTGCGTCGTAAAGCTTGAATAGATCAATTGCAAGGAATCCGTTATAGTCATGGGCCTTTAATACAAATTTCAGCGGTAAAACAGAAATTATAAAAAAAAAGCTTGCTTACAGCTTGAACAACCACGTGAGAGCTAACAACCACTAAAAAGGGCAGAGGATATGTGCAGGATACATCTTGGAAAAACGTGTAGCGTAAATATGTACATTTTTAGCGACGCCAATCCTGTAGAAAGTTGACGTCTTCGACGTTGGGGAATACTTTGTGCAGCATCTTTTCGTAGGTGATGAGCGTGTTGAAAATGTTGGTCTTTTCGACGACCTCGACCATTTCCAATTTTTGCACGTGACGAACCTGAAGTTTACAAAAATATAGCTATTTTATTGGTATTATGATATATTTATATATCTATATTTATCCTATCCTATAAGCGATATATTTATACGATAGACATACTTTATCCGCTTACCTTTCCGATCATATAATCCGGCAGTGAAGGAACGTAAGGCCCTTTCATCATTGTCAAACGTAGAGACTCGCATTCAAATGAGGTCAAGAAACGCTGAAAAAATTCTTTATATTAATATATACTTAACGCATTTTAGGTAAGAATGTTGTAGGTATAATTAAGCTTCAATTTAAAATTACGTTAAAATTTTACGAACCTGAACAACTTCATCGGTAGGGTCAAAGCCTTGCAGGGATGAATACGACAAATGTGTCGCCGTAATTCCCGTAGACATCAATTGAATCATCCGCTCACAAATCGATTCTTGATCAGCATCGAAGCCGCCGTCAAATTCGTTTAGGGACAGCCTTTCCAGGGCCATTGGCTTTCCGGCAAAACATTGAATCGCTTCAGAAAGCCCGAGCTGGCCAAGCGAATGTAGACTATCCGCATTCTCCTCCACCAGTCGCACAATCGAATCTGTGGCCCCGGTTCCGACACGCTTCCTTCGGAATTTGACGGTCTCAAGCTGGACGTTCCCTAAAAAAATGGGGGTTTCAAAGAAAAATCGATGATTTTTACCTTTTCCGAGAAGTTCCTGGATTACAGACGTAAAATTGCCTTGTTCAGAATCGTTTTCACGAGAATAGAGCCTTAGCGTTTTTAGGGTTCGCATCGCTCCAACAGCTTCTTTTACCAGTTTCAATGCTTCATCCATTGTATGGACTAGGGAGCCCTAAAAATAATAATTCTTGTCTTGGAGTTTCTCAAACCTGTACAATAATATTTTGCTCTGGGCGTGGTAGTTTTTCCTTGCGTAATCCAATGATACGATACTCGGTTGGGTCGCTAAAATGGATTTCCAGATCATTTGTGCATGTCTTACAGTATCTCAACCAGCAACTCGTCCTTCTTTCCCATTTCACGGCCGACAACGTTGTGGGCGAGTCGAGAAACCCTCTGAAGTGATAAAGAATTACTTCCGTGAATTGCCCGACGTGCTTAAAAAAAATGTTTTGTCCCTCGAGGCGCTGTCAGCTGCTCCCCCAAGGGTTCCACCCTCTTTTTGTGCGCTGACCGCCTCAAAACAAGCCCGAGATCCTGGCAAATACCTTTAGGCGCAGCTGAGATCGGATCGAAGATCGTCGCATGGTGCGTGCGAAAATTTTTGCGAGTAGATCATCGCAGAGGGCTGGGCAGCTGAAAAATTAGGGTTTTTTGGGGTTGCATATAGAATCGAAAATATTTTCCGTAGAGTAATTTTTCGAAAAGGTCATTTCTAGGAAAGCTCCATTCCTATCTTTAAAAACAAATTCTATATTTTTAATATTTATTTACTTACGTGGCTTCAGAATTAACATCAGCTTCCTCGAGCAATGTCTGCTTGTGAGAACATGACGGAATTTGGGCGGCAAGATCGCTAAAATCTGCCATAAGGAAAAGTATATTTTTTTTATACCTTTTGGCCTCCGCTGCCGAGGTGGACATTCAAAATTTGGGTGATTGGTGAGAAACTTCACTGAAAAACGGAGAATTTTATCAAATTTTATGCAAATAAGGTATCAAAAAGGATAAAAAGTGTGATGTGCGGAAATGGGGGCGTTAAGTAATGACGGCTTCAAGGTCATTCCAAATCGGGGGTGTGGGAGTGCTGTTGATTTCCGGATCCGTGATGGTCAAATTATGGGCGGGTGAGTCACTAGGATTTTGATGGGGAAATCTTGGTAGTTTTGCTAGGTAATTTTTTTTGGCCGGTTGAGCTCATGGCCAAAGGGGAGGTGACACCAGATAGCCGTGGATTTTTGGGAAGGTGGGAAAGTGGTTCCCAATAAATGGCAATTTCAGTAGCGATTTATTTTGCCCAAAAAAGTCCTGAATAGTCAAAAAAACTGACTTTGTCACCGAGTGGTCAGCGGCAAAAGTTTTATGGGCAGCCGTTCGTTATCGATGCGAACACACGTGGGGGGGCAATGTTTGCTGGGAGGAAGGGGGCAGACGACTCGGGTCAGATTGTAAAAAATGGATTATATGAACAAACACCTAACGGAACATGACAAGTCTAAGAGGATAGTGGGGGAGCGGTTGGGAAGTGAAGAAAAACTCAAGAAAAAAACCGAAGAAAATGTTTTATGGCTATTTGAAACACGGTAATGTATCATTAGGGTACAGGGCCAAGCCCATCTGGTACAGAATCTAGCGCTGATTCCGAATATGTTTACAAAATTTGCAAAATTGTGATTTTCCAAAAATTATGAACGGTTTAAGATCCGGAAACGCCCCAAATGGACCACTGTCTGTGGTTTTGCGGGATAAAATCGTTCATAACTTCCGGAAAATCGCGATTCCGCTCTTTTGGTTAACAGATTCGGAATCACCGCAAAATTCTAGACCAGATAAGCTTGGTCGCAACTTGCCGGCGACACTAAAGACGAAAAAATTTAAAGATAAAGCCGTCCTAAGGTTTAAAGTATCTGTTTAGGCTTAAAAGTTATAGTTTAACAAAAAACACCAATTTTTAGGACCCATCGCCATCCTACATAAAATATATATTAAGTTTCCCATAGCCTCACCGCAACACATCAACTGATAATATCTTTTGGGCACCTGTTGGCACCTAGCCACCAGCGATTTTTTTCACTAAAAAATGGGCCGCTGACCGATAAGGGGGCCCCCACGAGGTCGGTTGGCGCAAATATTTTCGCATAGCTGTCCACATCTATTTGTAAAGCAGGGAGGTGCTTGGGAATATCAGAAAATGGGGGCTAGAGCGGTTCAATACTTTTTTCAAAAATGATGGTATCAATGACGATGTTTAAGGGCGGTTGAGGTGCCTGGGAAGTGAATATTTTTTGGTAGAGGTATTGGGTCGTAGGGTGTGACAGTTGAGACAGAGCACGTCACCCCTCGAGGCACAAATGACCCGAGGGCACACAACCTGGATGGGGGAAGAGGGCAAAGTACAACTTGATGACGGGCTGGCCCCAATGTTTATGAGCCAAAAAATGTGGTGCAAAAAATATAATAAAAAATATGAAGACATTAACGGGAGCACATTAATATCTCTCCTTAAAATCGATTGATATCTCAAATTCCTTTCCTCAAGAACATTTTTTATATAAATGACGGCATTTTTCAAGGCTTTTTATGAATTTCGTCTATTAATTGGTAACCTATAATAATAAATTGTCATAAAGTTAAGTCATTAATAGTAAAAGCAATTAATCTAACTATACGTAAACGGAAAAACTTTATAAAGATTATATTATCAATTTTAACCCCATAATGGACAATTTTCAGCCAAATTTTGGAAAATTGAGATTTTTACTGCGTTTTTAAGAAGAGGATAATTTTATATAGTTAAATTTGACCAAAAAATTACTAAAATTGATTACGAACGATTTCTGAATTAATAGTAAAAGGCCCCCCGATAACGTAAAAGATCCGAAGTTTGACTAGGTCTAGCCTATATTTTGGAAGATATAAATATTGGAAGCCAAGGGCATGGTCAGAACTCGAATGCCTCACTATACGTTATCTTAATAGAAACACAAACATTGCCCTTTAAAGCAACACAGCGCCGCCTCCCCCTTTAAAAGCCATATGTTGTCTACATACCCTGGGGGCAAAGTATACTGGGCAGCTCTTATCAAGGGCCACCGACACGCCGTAGGCCTTCAATTTCAGCATGACACTTGCAATATTTGGCGTTTGAAGGCGTGCAAAACCTACAAAAACATGCGGTGCAAAGAGCAGCATGTAAAATCTAGTACTGGACAGTTAGCGGAGGGGGGGCTTTTAGCAGGGGGAACTAAATTTTGTCTTTCCACCCACATGTTAATAATTACAATATATTTTTATAGCGTTTTTTAGTAGATTTTGCTAATATTGCTAGAAAATCATCAAAAGCAGTTCAAAAATTATTTAAATGCGAAAACTTTGATCTTCTTTGGTCATTTTCATCAATTTTCGACCAAAAAGGATATTTTATATCTTAGAATTTTCGAAAATACCATATAAATGATTTAAATTTCGTTATTGGGCCGTACGGGATTACTTAGAAAAATTTTGTTTCCAGCTGCTACCCCCCCCCCCCGCTAACGGCCAAGTTCCGAATCTACAAGCAAATTGGCTATAAGACGTCTTGAAAAGGGTGTCAATATGATTTTACTTTTTTAAATGATCATAAAAATTCTCTAATTGACGGGCGATCAGGTCAATGGTCTCTGTCCATTGCGGGGGATGGCAGGACAGCCATTTTTATGAGGAACTAGAAATTTCGGGGGCTGGGGTCTGTGAGGGGGCAGGTGCAAGCCAAACCTCAGGGCGAGCAGATGGTAGTGAAGGCCATTTTCCCGCAACGCTTTTTCCTTTTTTGGGGATAGGTCAGGTCAGTCTAATTTCTCGATTTTTCTTGATTATCACAAAGGTATCAATTTCTAGCAATTAATGCGACTGCAAAACAGTTCATTGATCAGAGATCTTTAACTCCAAAATTAAAACTATAGCATTTTTATTTAAGATGTGCCGGGCTACAGTTAAAACTAGGAAAAGTAAAACACCCAGAGGTAGCCCATGTCCAAGCCCTGAGGCGGATCTGTCTGGGTGTAGCAAGCTGTAGTCCGTAGCTTTCGAGAGAAGGCCCAAAGGGCCCAAGGGCCCAGCCCCGTCACATGGCCCTGCGGGGGATGGATCAGGCTTCTCTGGGCCCTCGAACTCTGGGCCCTTTCGCCGATTTAGCCTTGGCCCCTGGCCCATCCCCGCCCATTCGATTGACCTTCAATTTCCGGTAGCAGCAAAAAAGGAAAGAAAATGTTTAAAGGGTCTTGGAAGGTTAAAGATTTTGTCGTGTATCTACAAATTTGGGAAAATGCACGGTGGAAGCCTTTTTAAATTGAAATATATTTTAATTCGAGATTAATTATTCCTTAAAGCTTATTCTGGTTGACTCCTTCAAATTAATGGATATTTTTAATTAAAAAAATCATTCGAAAAGCCCAATAAATGTTCAAAACCCTTCCAAAAACAATATGAATGATGATACAGCTTGTCAAAATAAACAAATCACGCCGCCCACAGGAAATGAACACAAAATTGCTAAAGTCAGCAAAATTTTTAGAAAAATTTAAGGTTGTTTTTAGAAAGCCCAAGGAAACACGCTGCCCCGCGTGTACAAATTAAAGTGCAACGGAGGCAAGGACTTTGAGCTAAAGCAGGCGTGTGTGGAAAATATTTGCGGGTGTGTCTGCCGGGGATCGTGGGTGCACACACGTTGTTTTTGCGAGGGGGCCCAGGGCCACCCGGCTGGGTCCCGCATGGCCCTTCTATCCATCCAAAGGCACGTGGCTTCTCTTGGACAATCGAAACGAGGGAAGAGAGGTCTCAGAGAGAGAGAGAAGGTGGGGGGCAATATAATATAGATTTTCGATCGAGGTCTGGCGCCGCCGGAAATGGAATCAACACACAGGAGGGACAGTGTTACGTGGCTGTAACGTCTGTGTTTTTTTAAAAGAAAATGAAGAGAATGGTTTCTAACTATTTTTTGGTATTTTTACTGAATTAAATATGTCCTAATCTGATTTTATTTAATTACGAAGGGGAAAATATTCTATTTTTCAGCCGATATTTTCCAGACGCATTCTGACGCGTTTTATGGGTTTATGGGAAAATTGATTGTCCCAAATGGTCACATGGCTGACCTGGAAAAGCGTTGTTTTGGGGCTGGAAAAGGAGCTTATCGCTTGGATGGACAACGTGCGGGGAACTACGCGGCGTAGGGCCAAGGGTGAGGGTACAAAGAATGTAAAAATAGAGTTTGTCAAAATTTTAAAGGCGTCAAGCTATAGGGTCATTAAAATTTAAAATCCCTACTACATATTTCTAAAGCAACATGCTTGGCATTCCAGCCCCCTATCCCACGTTGCTGATGAGCATTTCGAGGAACAGCCAATCGAGACTCGTGGTCACGAGCCGCGTTTTGCGTCGACAAAACGGTCAGGGGTCGCGCGGAGGACGAGCACAAACAGAAACGCGCGGGGGCCCCAACCGTTTTTCCTGGTCCCCTAAACACAACAGTTCCGGCCGATGGCCATCGGTTTGGGTAGGGCTCTGCAAGCCATACCACGTGGGGGAATCAGGTGTGGTGACCACAATACAAATTTGAGTCTTGATCCAGTTCAGAACGAAAATAGTGTTTTGCGCAATTCTAAAAAGTTTTATATTGGATGTAAGGCAGCAAAATGCCGAATGAGTCTTTTCTGGGGCACCCCGTAAATGTACTGGCTTTTCTATGTAAACGCTTTTTCTAGAGAAACAACAATTTATTTATTATCTCGGCTACCCGATAACGAATGGCATATAATGTCTAATGATTATGAAACATTATGATTATTTGCTTAACAATAACCCGCTGATGAATACGGCGGCCAAAAATTCCGCATAGAAAAACTGGGAATACGTCAAGAATATGGATTTCACGATCAAATATTTGTCCCTCATCGCCTCGTCGTGGTGCAGCATTTTACGCACGTGGAATGCCCCGTAGTCCAGTGGATCCATGATATGGTCAAGGTATAGGGAACGGAACTAAACTGGTTACTATTAATCATAAAAACCCAAATACCTTTCGGCCACGATTTCCGTATTCAGGATTGTCAAGTACTTGATGAACCTTCGTGGAAAGCTCAACTTCAGTTACATTCTAAATGGTCCAAAAGTAAAATAAATTTAAGTTTAGCGCCTCACCTTTTTGTAAATCGATTGAGCGAGTCCCCAATGTTTCGCCAAAAGAGCGTTTTTTGGCTGGTCAGCGAAAAATGGGAGGAAAAGCATCGGGACACCGGCGCAGAGACCTTCTTTGAAACTACACAATTTCATTACTTTATTACTAACACTTTAGGCATACCTTTTGATGCCTCCATGTGTAAAAAAGAGCACCGTTTTGTTATGGGCAAGAATATCATTTTGAGGGGCCCAGGAAAGGAATTCTGGGATGTAAATTGTAAGTCAACAAGCTATAGGAGTTTCATACTAATGTGTGGCAAAGCCTCGGTTAGTTCCTCATCCTGATACGACCAAATAATACGGTAATCGCTCATGGCATTAAAGACTTTGACGAATGTATGGCGGATCTGAGATTAGTATATTATCACTATTCTTACTATAAAAGTTTACATGTTCGGGTCCATATTTCCAATTGACAATTGAGCCAAAAGCTATGTAAATTGTGCCCTTGGATTTTGGATCATCCACAAATTTGGCGAGTTCATCGGAAAGTGGCTTGGAACCTGAATTTCTTGATTATCAAGTTATCTTTTTACACAATGGTTTTTCGAATTTTACTAACCTTTACAATTCTGCCCAACCGAAATGGCTTGCGTGGTTTTTGGTGTAGCCATCAGCAACAACTCCGGATAATCCGCAAAATGATAGTAAGAATCCTAAACCACGTCAAAACACAGTGAAATAATGTCTGACGCGATACATCTTCTGCTGACTCGTCTTGACGCTCAGCAAAGCAGCCGATTTTTGCACCCAAGATTCGCATTCATAGCGAAAGTGGAAGTTTTCAACTAGAACATCCCTGAAATAGTCTAGGAATACTAACTAGTCCTGAAGATACCTAAAATTCGCTAGGCGATCCCAGAATAGCGTTACGTCGTATTCGGTTCTGAATCCCTTCGCATGAAAGCTAAATGGCTTTAGAAATCTTGGATTTGCTTACTTTGGGACAGTGATTGGATTTCTGCCAAATCCACGATAGTCGGCAGTTATTTGCATAATATCTGAAAAAGCGTCGAAAATAATGGAAAATCATACCGGTGGTCGGAAACGTAGCAATTTTGGCGCCGTAATGCATTTTTTGATATTCAGCAATGGTTGCTTGAGCAGGTGGGAACATATCGTCAATGATCACCAGGTCGAATTTTGTTGCGAGGATGCCGAGTAGGTTTTCTGAAAATCCGTTATTGAAAAAATACAGTCTATATAAGGTTTTAAAAGCGAAACAACTACACAAAAAAAGCCAAACCCTCTGCAACACTCGATGCAAAAAAGTTGTGCCCATTCATAAACGGATGTGAGAACATCTCCGGATACATTTCATGATTCCAGAAGAGATCAATCACCTGTAAACACTTTCTTACGCTTACCATCTCTTGTTGTTGCTCGCATATAGGAGTGTGAGTACTCGAAGGCAAAGTTGAATTCGTCGGGCTCCATTTCCTCGTACCAGAATGCGTTTTGTACCTGCAGAACCCAACGGTGCCCACGAGTACGTCACAATCCGTTTGCGAATGTTAATTTTAGGTATTTTGGCAGTTTTTGACGATTTTTTGTGAGCTGCGTTAACATAAGTACTTACCGCAAGATAAATTTCAGTTGCATCGTCATTCTGAACAAGCGATTCAACCGAATGGATCTTATTTCCGATTGGGCCGATTTTATACCCAGTTAATGTATGTAGCGTAACGTTATGCCCATCGTCGTGCAACCTAAAAAACGATTTATAAAAAAATTATTAAGAAACTATACACCTTTCCATTAGTGGCTTCATTGTTAACGCATGCGATTTTGAATTCCACGAATTTAGGAACAATATGTTTGCCCCAAAAATTAGCGAGCAACATTGCTAAATAATATCTTTCTTTGGAATCCGAATGATTCGAATTTTTAACGCGCAGATTTAAATTCTAATGAAACTCACGTACCAATAATAAAACTAAACGAAAAACCATCATTCGGAAGCAGAATTTTGTTGAATTATGCAAGCTTCGTTCCTTATCTCTGACCCCCTTACCGGGCGGGGGGAAATGGGCCTGTAGTTTGGGACTTTTTGTGTGGTATCGTGGAAACAGTCGGGGCACCATGATAATAGGCAAATATGGAGTTTCTAGTCTGTAAAATAGAAGTCGGAAGTAAGTGGAAAAGAAGTTAGAAAACTAGGATTTTCTGGACCCAAATTTACTGCGGATCACACTTTGCATAAAAGTCCGTGTCTCTCAAATTCCAAATTTATTCAGATGCACAACGATGCACCGCTAGCGTCAGTTTTTCCTACTACAACAACAACAACTGACAGCCAACGACGTACGGGGGCTTTGTTCTGTTTTTCGCGTTTTCGCGGGGGGAGCCGGGCGGTGGGTAGGCCTTCTATTCGACGATGAATATTTCAACGACAAAACCCGCCTGACAGCGATTGCCACCCCCCCATCTCACGGGCTGCGAAAGCAGAAAAAATCTTTCGGGAACAAGGGGGAAAACGAAGCACCCCATTTACGGGATTATTGCCGTTGTATGTTGTGTATTTTATTTTTATGTCAGATATTTGAAATTTTTTGTGAAATTTGAATAATTCCGGTATTTTCTCTAAGGGGCTAGTTTTTCCATGGCTTTGAGGGGGATGCTGGTGTACTAACAGGGAATGAATTTATTTATTTATTTATGTATTTTTGATTTTTGAGCTTATATTTGAAGATAAAATAGCTTGTTTTTGAGCAATTACCCAATTTTCGAGGTATAGAAAATTCTTAACGCCACTCTGGATCACAATCTACAGCTTAAATTTTCCTATTTTATAATTTTTAAATGTGGTTTTGATAGAACGATGACTTATGATAGACATAAAAATTAAATTAAAGGCTAAATCTGTATGAGGGAATACGGAAACTCCGAACTCACAGTCACGTCCCCCACGACACGTCACACGTCAGACACATTCCTCCAACCTAAAAACATCCACTTCCCCCTTTCGGCAAACATTTCCCTATGTAGGTACGAAAAAAGCCCTTGCCATATTGGCCAACACCCCCCTCGGCCTCAACCACGCGTCGTCAAAGTTTCGGGCCCAAATTTCACGCTTCGTGGCCCGTCGAAATTTTTGGGGGGCCGTTGTGCAATGGGTGCCGCGCCAAGCTTACTTTTTTGCACAACTTTTCGATTTTTGAAAATTCCATGAGCGGCCTCCCCATCCTGCTAACTTTAGACTACACATCACCACAGGGAGTCCCAAAAATGGAGCCATCCGGAATTTGCCTCCTTACCTACAATCGGTCCCAAAATTGGACCAGAGGTTTATCAAACCCTAGATAACAAAAACAAGTAAATAAATATAAAATATATAAATTATAAATCAAGTTCGCTATCTTTTTGGACTTTGCATCCATTTGCACAGACTTCCGGCTGTGAATCCCTGATGCCGTTTAAGATCTTTCATTTATTTTGTATTGTAAAATCCTTGAAATCGCGCTTTTTGAATAAAATGTATTTTGGTTGTAACTCGAGAAATATGGTAGCCATAGAATTATAAGTACGGATTTTTGTTACTTAGGATCTGTCTCCTCTCTTCCAATTTTGGGACCGATAGGATGAGAGGCCACGAAAATCCAGATGGGCCCTTTTTTGCCGCATTCTGTAGATCCGAAATTTTACCCACCGCCTGGAACCCGAGTCGGGCCTCCTCACTCCCGAGCCCGTGACTTTCGTAGTAATATTCAAAAAATGGTTTCCACAGCAGAGGAGAGCGCTCCGTCTCGGCCGTGAGCCCGGACCCGGCTCGGAAATCCGAAACCGTGTGCCCTGAAGGATCGCTCGGAAATTCGGAGCGGTGGAGAGGGAAGAAGCCGAAGAAAAACTCGCCTGCTCGCCCCTTCTCGGGAAATCCGCCTTCGGCTTTGCATAAGACCCAAACCACTTGGGTGAGCAAAAAGCTCGGGGGTTGGCTGTGGTTTGCTGTTTTTGCGTGGTTTTTGGAAATGTTAAAGAGTTGCCATTTTTTTCTAAAATTTTTCCTGTTTTTGCAAATCTCGGGGCGGCTGTTTGTCATTTGCCGTCAACGTAGTGAAATGATGGGCCTTTTTGCGAGACTCTGGGGGGAGGGGGTAGCGCTAGTATTCCCTCCTCCCGTCAGACTGACGTCCCATGCGGCTTATGAATTTTTGAGGTGTCCCGATGTCGCCGACTAGCCGATTCAGCGAATAGATTTTGCCCCACTCACTCTCGAAACTTTTGTTTGAATTTCCGGGATTGCTGGAATGTGGCTATTCGCATTTTGAATTCAACGAAATTTTCTGGAACGCCTAGTTTGGGGGATGAAAGTCTCGCGCAATGGAAATAGTTTGCAATATAATTCTTGTTTCTAGAAATTATTTATTGTTTTTTTAGCTCCTGTCTCTTAGAGACTACTTATTGTCTTTTTTCGCTGTTTGAAAACACCGACGATGCCAAAAAATACCGAAAATCGACTGCGCTAGATCGAAGCCGACTTTTCGATCAATTTTTTAAACAATTAATCGTGAAATTATTTTTTCGCTAAGAAGCTAGCTAGCTGAAGATGATATTATGCGTATAGGTTTTTAATGCTTAATCGAATGTACCTTGCTAAGAATGTTTTTCTTGCCAAATTACACGATATTCTAATTTTTGGTGCCCCTACTACTTTTGCAACGCTACCAGGTCTTTCATCAATTTAATCGAGGTGTGAAATGATGTATTTATCACTGTGTGTTGGCCACGGGCGATGGCAGATGGAAATATTTGCAGAAATTGGAGGCGCGACCCCTTTAACGGGGGATGGAAACGAGAGAAACACTTGAGAACACCCCTGATCGCCCCTCATTTCGACCCCCCAGATTCGATTTCATGTGAGGGTGGGGGGGCATGGGCCATTCTCTGGGCGCACATTTTGGCCAAATATCATCTTTTTAGGAACATTCTAGTTAGTGTTCGTTTTGAAGTTTACAAGGCGCGTTTTTGAGCGTCCACAGGGTTTTAAAATCAGGCCAAAAATAAAGAACCTTGTGTAGAATTTTTGGCTGATAAAAACGTTCTTTCAAAATCTGCAAAAAGACCATCTTTAAAAAGTAACGTAGCTCTAAAGTGTAAATGCTCAAGATCGCTAATTTCGGCCGTTTTTCGCCCTTTAGAACTTTATAACTTTCTTAATACGACCGTTTCGTTGATTCTGAAAACCAGGTTTTAATCAGCGAAAAATTCTGTGTAGACTGGAAATGCGACCACTAAAAAACTTTCTTTTTCAGCATGGCGCGATTCTAATTAACTCCCAAATACCGCCCGACAGGTGTAGATTCGACGCTTTACAATTATCAGCACCAATTTGCAAAAAGACCGCCGTTCCAAAAATTGCGAACCCTAACATTTGTTAAACCCTTGGATATTTTTATCCAATCACAACCTACGGTCGTCATTAATGCCCGATTTTATTGGCCAATTCGGGCAACGATGGCTGGCCGTACGGGGCGCCGGACACAACAGCCGTCACACCCCGCCTAACCAACGGCAGGGGGGCGATCTCGTGCTCATAGCCTGAGGCTATGTTTTTCGGGTATTTATTTGTGGTGGGATGGGACGGGGGGATCCCGGCACTTCCGGTCCTCGGGGCCGCCGGATAGATATTGCGAACGATGCTACTATTAATTTCGAATGCGGAGTTTACGGCTGTTAGAATTGGTTTTCCGGAATTTTCGGGAGAATATTTATTTTACTTTATTTCGAATTTGATTTGCAATATGTCGAAACTGTCAATATTTCGAAAAATCTATATAAACAATTGATTTCGAAAATTATTACTCGAAAGCTCGAAAAATTTTGAGCAACGGAGTTTCCGAACCTATTGAACCTGTTGAACACCAATTTAATGTTAGAAATTTTAATACAGGTTTTTTCGTAATTCTATTTTGCTATTACTTTTATCACTTTTACTAAACTAATTTTTGTTTGAATTAGGTACGTCTCACCAACTCGATTTTTTTGGCATATCTACACTCCAGCCCAAACCCACATTATTATTCAAAAGCCTGGGGTTAATTTCGAATCCTCAGCTGGTTTTGAACGCCAACAAACTGCAGACTGACCCCGACAAGACTCCCTGGAGAGCGTTTGTTTTTTGGTGTTGGCCTGGTTGGTGGGTGTTGAGAGGCCGGATGGGCTTCCGCTGAAAAATAGGCATCCTCAGTTTGCGCAACCATTCTTGAAGCGAGGCTTTTAGCTTTTCTGGTTTTGATGCTCTTCTATACAAATATACTCTTTCCAAACGTCAAAAAAGCAACTTTCCTTTCGCTCTTCAGCCACCCACATTATGCAAATAGATTTTTTTATGAAACCCACCCCAAGACCTCATCAGGAAACGCTAGTACGCACCGCTACGGGGTGTCAGCTGCGGAAAACGGGTGGCGACGACTTTGGAATATCATTTCCGGGATTAGAGCCGGGTTGTCAGATGCGGAGAAGAGGAGAAGGGTATTCAGCCCCTTCACTCTATTCAGAAATCGCATCTTACGGGGGTCACCCCCCCCAAAGCATCAAAACCTCGTCAGCATTTTTCTGTCGGTTTGGAAGGGGCTTCCTCGAACGTAAAAATCTAGTTTCATGGGTACTGGTCTGTTAGCGAGGGGGGTTAACAGGCTAATTTTTTATTTCATTGCATTGTAGACCGTTTTTAAACACAAAAAGGTTTGTAAAAAATTTTTCATCAAAAATGTATGAAAATTACCAAAAATGTCACAATTTTCGATTTTTAAAAAATGTTCTAAATATTTT